CGCAAGTCTTACTGCTGGATCTACCTGCACCGGTATGTCTCTTTTCCCATTCTCGTCGACGTTTTTTTCTTACTCGTTTCATCAGACGGCGAACAAGCTTGTGTGGGGGGAGGATTTGCCCAATGTGTTGGAGGCAAATTCGCTGTCACTGGATGTTCTGCTCCGACTGTCTGTGTTGCTCTTCCCCTTGTTAACAAGGCTGGAACCTCTATCACTTGCGACACAGAGGCCGATGCCATCGCCCGCATGTCCGCGGCTGGTGCCAGCGCCAGTCTAACTGGATAAACTGTCGCTGACCTCTATTTTTTATTGATAAAGTATCATTGTATCGCGACAGGGTCGTTTTCTTCCGTCTTCGCTTGTCTTTTTAGCTTGAATACTGAAATTTGAAATAAAAAAATACTTCAAAAACCGCATAGAAAGTTGGTGTGAGAATGTGCCCAAAAAGGAATAACCTAGAAAGGAAGGACCCTGAACCAACTTGGAATTATTAGACTTTGATTTTGAACATGCCACATTTTTCCTTTGACCCTTCCTCACCATGTCGACATCTGAAATCGCTGCTCGACTCAAGGATGAGGGCAATGCTCTCTTTGTTAACAAGGATTTCGTCGAGGCTAACAAGAAATACTCTGAGGCCATCGACCTCCAGCCCAGCGCTGTGCTGTATTCCAATCGAGCAGCATGTCGTCTAAACACAAAAGAGTCAGTTATTTTTCTTCATTTTCCTTCAAGACAAGCTGATTATTTTCTGCTAGGTACCTCGGAGCCTGCGATGATTCGAAAATGGTAGCTTTTTTTCAACTTTTATTTTCCTTTGTCGTCTTTTGAAAAAAAAATTCTGATTGTTTCTTTACAGGCGATTGAACTCGATCCAACCTACGCGAGAGCTCATGCTCGGCTTGCCACTGCTCACGATGTAAGTCGTCACATTCTCCACCATCTTCGTCTTTGTTGATCTGTCTCTGCCAGTATATGAATGAACCTTGGCATTCTGTTTCGGAATGGGGCTCAGCAGTTAATGCATTGAACAAGAACAACTTGACGCCGACTGAGATCAAGCAAAAGGCCCAATACGAAGCTAGTCTTGCGGCAGCGAAGAAAAATCTTATCAAGATGGAGACACCGAGGAATGTGGCGGATTTTCTACCTGTCATAAAGGAGCACGATACGATGAATGCGCCATGGTACCAAGCCCATGCTATAATTCCGAAGCTGAGGGCCGAGGGCAAGCTCAACAGTAGTGTGCGTTCTCCACTTCACTGACTAACTTGACCTGATATTGCCTCGACAGGCTTTCGTCATCGCTGAAGCTCACCAGGTCGGTCCAACTTCAGCTTCACTGTCGTCTCCACTTATGCACCATCGCAGGACTTTGTGAGTGGCATACAGACCATGAGAGCGACTCGTCAGGTTGGAATAGCCTGGATAGGCATGACGGGAGTACGTATTCACTCCCGAGTCGTTCTAGTTTTCATCGTTGAAATTTGATTTAGGCCATTGCGTCCGTCTCCAACGCCATTCTACGAGATGAAAGAATCTTTCACATCACTGGTCAGGATCCGAACTGGATCAGCATGTACAACAATCAAGGTAGATCATCCCGTCCCTCGACCGATGTATTTCAATCTCACACTTGGATAGTTATGCTCGAAGTTACGAAGACTCTTGCTTGGATTAAAGCTGGGGCCAAGACAGTGATCAAGGAGGCTCAAGAGCGTCTCGCCAGAGGTGGCTGGGACAGTGTTCGTCCTGCCTTATCAACAACTGTCAGGTCAGTCAGTCAGATCTCTCAGGTATATTTTCTCTGATCGTCGCTATTCAAGATGCTGGATTCTGCGCGGCTTTCTGGATTCAGGGCTCCGTCAAAACTACGCCGGTTTCGTCGAATTCATGAACAATGCAGTCGAGGTGATTACGGCGGGCCAGGAAGTCTGGAAAGATGTACCCAGAGAACAGCGTGGAACTATCTTCGACGATAGCTTCCTTCGAGGAGTTTTGAATCTGCAACTCGATGCTTTTACGAAGGTAGTTTCCTCTGGTTGTTTCCTTTCGGTTACTCAAAGGTTCTGCAGGCCTACAGGACGAAATCTTCTCCCGATGTCAAGGATCTTGAAATTATCAAAGCCAAAGCGGAAACTTTGATTCGTCTGGTCGAAGAAAGCCCCGCTCCCTCCTTTGATAGCACGAGGGAGCCTGGATTCATCAACTCTTTCTGGCATTACCCAAAGGGTCAGGCATACAGGTCAGTAATGTTTGACTTCCAGCGCTATATCGACTGACTGGTTCCAAGCATGATTGCGTTCTACCACATGCAAATGTCGAACTTGACAGAGGACAAAGATGAGGAGCAGATTCATCTAGGGCAATCGGCTCTCGGTTACCTCGCTGCCTCCGAGTGCTACCCGCTCGACGATGAACAGCATGCTTGTACGTCTCCTCAGGCTGAAATGTTTCAAAGACTCGACTGACTTTCGATCGTAGGGTTCATTTCGCGTGCTTTGCAAAATGCTGCGTTGGCAGGCCCAACTCCGGTTAAAGTGTTCATCGAGATGTTCGATAAACTCCATGCCGCGATGCCCGCTTTTGAGACTTTGTGGAAGCACTCGAGTATGGCAATACAAGGTTTGTGTTTGCGACAAATTTATGGAGTTTTTGCTCAGACCCCGACTGGATAGGTCGCGACGCGTTGATCAAACTGACGATGAGGATGGAACCAGATTTGCGTCAGCGGCTTGCTAGTGGTGAACTGAAGATGGATTCACTCATAAGTTCCAAGTAGTCGTAATCGCCAGATATTTTCCGAATGTGAACTATTTCATACATTTTACGGGCCTTTATGACGAAAATAGCGCAATTGTGCCACGACGGACTTCGAAACTAGATCATTATAATGACTCAGCGTGCCACCACCATAGCCTCGGAGCACGACTACCACTGGTCGTTCAATTCCATGAGGAAATCTCCATTTCTTCAATATCTTGGCACGAATCATGCAGCTAGCCAGTTGGAAGCGACCCAGATCCACGAACTTTGTCGCCAACCAAAGCTCGCAATCAATGATTTTGACGTTCAAATCGCGGCTTTGGCATTCTAGCGTCGTCTACGTCAGGAATTTGTCGACGCTCATCTCGCGCTTGTGGCGCCCATTCGTCGTCTGTCAGCTGAAATTCTGCAGCAGATTTTCCATCATTGTATCGTCGATGATGCTGAAGATTTCGCTATGCCTGCAATCCTCTCCTCAGACCTGCCACTGCACCTGGGTCATATATGCAGTGAGTGGAGAAGGATTTGTCTGGCTACCCCAGAACTTTGGTCGAGATTTCAGCTCGATCTCTCTCACGCCACTGACATCGAGTCCCCCCGCTGGCTAGTGGCGTACGAGTTGATGAGAACATGGGTGACCAGATCAGGACAGCGGCCGTTGGATATGTGCCTCTCGTGTACTGGTCATGCTGGTGCCCTTCTGGAAGACCAGCAACAGGGTGACGAGATGGTACCTTCGTTTCTGGGATATTTGGCCACAGTATCACATCGATGGAGGAGCTTGGAGCTGTGGGGTCTGAATTCACTTGCTTTGAGAGAGAAGCAGGCTCTCATAAGTGTTCCAAGCACCGGGATGCTTTCGGCCGTCGTTTTCCACTATACCTCTGGCAGCAGGTCAGATTCTCGGCTCTGGATCGCTCTCACCGCCCTCATCAAGGGTGCTGCCCAGCTCCAATACGTAGATATACGTGATCGCCATTCATCACATAATCCACTTCTCCCGATGCTCTCACCAGTCGGATTGCCGGAGCCGCGCCATTTACGATTCCTCTCAATCGACGAGCCTGATACGCCACTCGAAGACATCGCGCCGGTTCTTCGTCTCCTGCACGGCTGTCCCGCCCTTGAAGTCTGCTTTATGCAGTTCAAATCCATAGGCCAAAGCAGTGTCGTACCAGGTCTGGTCGCGCCCATCCGAGTCGCCATCATGAATCATTTACAAACTCTTCAGCTCAGCGTTCGGCATATCATCACACCCTTGACTGATTCGGTCGAATACGCCAGAGATATTCTTCAATCGCTCGTCGCTCCAGAACTTCTGGTCCTATCATTATTAGACGGAAAGAAGACACCGCAGGGGACACTTCCTGCTTTGAAGTCTTTCTTAGAGCGCTCCGCCTGTTCCCTTCGAAAGCTCTACCTCGGCACGTTCATTCCCGGGATTCAGTCCACAACGCAACAGCTCTCCGATGATATCGAGTCCTGCCTTCACCTATGTCCTAGACTGCGGCATTTTGACCTGCAGGCGTTTATCTCAATGATGAAGGACCCAGTCTCGGGGAAGCTTTGTTGGAATCTGGGGCTATTCCATCAGGTCTTCAACGGCTTGCGTTACGTGGGTGCTTCCCAGAGTCCAATGTCATGTCAAGCTTCACGAGTTTCTGCGGAATCGGGCTACAGAGGGATCACTGATCGAGGTGGATTTTTCCGACGATAGTATCCCTGCAAATTTTAGGGATCTGGAGGAAATGGGAATGGTACACAATCCTAGATCTGTATGGCACCTGTTACCTCTCTCTTTGTGGGAAGAGCTACAAACATATCAATCTATGCTCTTGTAGGAGTTGACGCCGCACTCTCACATGTCCTCAATGAAGTCTTTCTCTATCTACTTGTAACTTTGCCTCTTGAACATGTTAATCTTTGGTCATTCGGAACTAATACACTACGACCAAAGCTTGAGCTGGATTCGGTTCACAGATGGTGAGTGAGCAAAGCCGTAAGATAGGAATAGCAGCCTGTCGAAAAGCGATATAATATACAACCACCGTCGATTATGCATGGTGAGATGGCCGAGCGGTCTAAGGCGCCAGACTAGGGATCAGCGTCGTTTCGATGCGCCAATAGTGGGATTTGAACCTGCTATCTGGGAATAGTGCTTTTTACCGGCTACTGAGCTGATATGTAACACTATTATGGTCGCTGATAGCTTCCGAGGGTTCGCATACATACATGGTCAGATGGCCGAGCGGTCTAAGGCGCCAGACTAAGGATCAGCATCGCTTCGATGCTCCAATAGCAGAGTGACTTCTGTTATCTGGTCACTCCGGTGGCGTGGGTTCGAATCCCACTCTGATCACTATTTTTGCTTCTTTCTGAAGCGTCTAAACCTTTTCTTGAAAGCAGGTCCGGACCTGGCCCTGAAAGGCCCGAAAACAATTGCAACTTTTTGGCTTATTTTCTGATTTAGTTCCAAGTGACATGCTATATGTGTAAAATATGTTCTTGATTATATGTGGCTTACTGCCCGATGATTGGTTGGACAGATCAGGGCACCAAGGGCATGTATTTAGGTCTTGAGAAACTGAATGAGATGCTGGCACGTTTTCAAGTCATGTTCTGTGCGCTCAAGAAGTGGCGTCACTGCGGAGCCTGGAGGTGGGCCGCAGGTTCCGGAATGTACCCTACAATTGTTTGCATGGCCTTGAACCTTGGAGTCATTGACATATGCGTGAAATTGGTGATCTGTATGACCTTTTACTTCAGATTATCACAGCACTAGTTTTATTATTGATGGCTATGGAATAGATAATATTATGATGCACCTAAATAGTAATCCAAGTGAACTGCAAGATAATGAGTGATTCAGCATTAAACCCCCCAAAAAATCCAAGCTACATACTTTCATGTCTTCCTTTGCCGCCGCTTTTACCATATACGGAGGCTATCTTCGGCTCGGCCTTTTTGGTTCACATATCAGCGCCCGACGTCCGAAACGAGCCAATTGATTGATGTGAAAAGTCATCGTGCTTCTACCTGGGTCAAGTGTCGCAGTTCGTTCATATGCATTTTACGTCACTGTAAACTTGTATATGACACGCTCATAAAGACAGAAACGTGCCAGAAACTCAATTGGAGCTGAATTTCATGCTCAAAGTTCCCTGTGTTGCAACAGATTTCAAGGGAGCTGAGCACAGAAGTTGATTGACAAGGAGTCGAGAACCTGGCAATGGTTCTGTTCTTTCCGAGGCTCGAGGCTCGCATCAACCTTAATCCGGGGCATGTGATTGCGCCGCGGTTCTTCTCGGTCACAAGTATTAAAACGGCATACAAATAAGTATATTTCAGAGGATGGTCCGTAACAAAAGCTCTCCAACTCTTCGAGCTAACACTAGATCCAATGTACACTCTACTATCACTGCCGGTTGGAGTCTTGTCACTTAGAGAGTGACTGGAACGCAGCCCAAAGAAATGGCGCCTGTAAACGAGCCGTTAGTCTAAGAAAGTTCTCGCAGTGACTGAATTCCACATACTGTGAGAGTTGTCTTGGCAGGTAACGGTAGTAGTGGAGCTGGCAACAAGGTCAGTAAGAATTCAAATCTTTGTACTAAAGAAGCTTACCAGTCGCCACCAGTACCGACGACAGTGATGGGGGAGCAGCCGAGACCGACTAGGCCAGTGACGCTGGAGGCATTGATACCGAGACCCGCCAAGATAGTGGCGATTCCTGGAGAGCTGGCATCCTGGACAGATTTGCAGCACACGTTGCCTGGAGAAGGCGCAGTGGTACGAGCAGTCGGGGTGGCGACCGCAAGGGTGGCAAGAGCAAGAGCGATAGCAGAGAGTTTGAATTGCATGGTTGAAATAGCTAGTACTGAACGACGGTTGAAGATGTTCGAGTAAAGAATTTGAAGGCATCGAAGGCATCTTTTATAGATTTTCGACCTCCATACTGGACGAAAACAGGCAAATTTCTTCTCAAGAACAAGTGAATTAAGTGGAGTAGATGTCCTCGTTGAGTGGAGCAACAAGTTTCCTATGATGTAGAGATCATAAGGATTGTAGAAGCATGGGGGGTGAAAGACGGAGATCACGACTCAAACAGGGTTGCCATACCAGAGAGTCGAGTAGTTCTATTAAAAGCGGTGACAAAAATCCGGCTTGATCCTCGGTGACGTGGATCTTTCCGTAGACCGCGATGACCCAGAAGTCCCGCCAGGAGTGGCTTTGCAATTTTTTCTCGCCTCATTGATACTCAACCCGAGTCTGAAACAAGAATCAACTTGAAGAAGGCATCGGTTGGTGTTCTTGTTGATAGACGCGCCTGTTTCCTGGAAAACGAAGTCGTCATTCTTTCATTCGCGTACGTCATGTTTCTTAAAATGCTCTAGTTCCCGACGTCTGAGTTCTTCTAGGTTACGTCTTCGGTCACCGAATTCCAGTAACACTCCACCGCGGTAAGACAGGCAGAATGTTCAGTAGTACAATGATGATTCCTGAGCGCATTGGGTTTCCTTGAAGAGTAATTTCAAGTCGCAATTATTGGGTCAACCATTTTCAGAGAGATAGCCTAAACAGATCTGATTTAATCGAGAGCCAGCCTTGGACGGAATTTTATGACGCGATCTCTTTTTGATGAGTCGCTTTTTAACCGAAGCCCGTCACAATGCCCGTCATAAGTCTAGGCTTTCATAGTGCGGCTTCATTTCATATGGGGTGCCAATCGGGACCGAAACTCCCGAGTCTCATGATCCTGCGGATTTGGCGTCAAGGATTTTCTTTCCATAAACACCGACTCGCCGATTAGAAGGCAAATTCCAGTGCAGGTAGACCATGCGTTCAGTACTCGAACATCTTCAATTGTCGTTCAGCTCCATCTCAAACATGCAATGCAACGCTCTCTGCTATCATTCCCGGTGGCAGGGACCGCCTAGGCAAGCCTCGATGGTCCCTGAATCCTGTGAAATAGCCATTCATTTTCGTCATGTTCCTGTGACGCAAAGAAAGGTACCAACCTGTCTTTACCCAGCTTTTTTGTCTGTCAACTGCTCAATGCTTGGTACTCTGCGACTCGAGTCTTTTTGGATGATGCGCCAGGGCGGTACTCGAGTTTGAATTTCAGAGATGCAACTCTTGACACCCGAGTCTAGAGTCCTTATATACGCACGCCTGGTTATTCTAGTAAGCCGACTCACATATTAAGTTATGACACCACTGTGGAACGGGTCATGTTAATTATGTACACTCTCAGATGCTGTTTGAACCCGTGCCCCGAGTCCTGTCAAGTACTTTTGAACTGCGGTGCCGATTCAGCCCTACAACAGCGCATTCGAACGTCATGACGTTCAACGCCACAATCAAGAAGCATCAGTAGCATGTGAAATAAAGTGGAAAATTGTTGAATCCTGAGGCAAGTATTCTCAATAGTACAGAAAAACGGAAGGTCCTCAGTTGAACCAAGTCCGGACGTTTTTCGATGACTATTGAGGCCGGGTCGAGGCTTTTTCAACCCGTGATCACTATAATAGGATCATCTGTGGAGTATGTCGAAAGAAACATCTTCTCGCGCTCTCACTTCCCCGAGGTTTTCGGAGGCCCGTCAAGACTGACATGTCATTTGTTGTTTTGGGACTTGAAGCTCGCAGCGGTCCTGACATCTGTTTCCTTGGCTCATATGACGTTGCTCCACAGTACAGGATTTCCACTCCACTTCGACATTCTCTGGGCTTGATAATGGGAAAGCAATATTGTTGTTGTGGCGAAGCATACAGTTCAGAAGTTTTATAAAGGATGTCTCGCGATGTCTCAAATCTTCACTCGAACAGCTTCAACCGTCGTTCAAGTACTAGTCATTTCAAACATGCAATTCAAGCTCTCCGCCGTCCTTCTTGCTCTTGCTACCCTTGCGGCCGCCACCCCAGCCATTCGCACTGAGTCGCCACCGACCACTTGCCCGACTTCAAGTGCTCAATGCTGCAGCACTGTCAGCGATTCCAGCTCGCCAGCCGTCATCACAATCCTGAAGGGCCTTGGCATTGATATCTCCAGCATCACTGCTGCAGTTGGTTTGGGTTGCTCCCCCATCTCTGTCGTTGATATCGGTAGTGGCGCATGGTAAGCTTCAAGCTGATAAAGACTCAAAAATCTCACTAACCTGGTTTCCAGCTCCTCTACTACGGTTTATTGCGAAGACAACTCCCACAGTAAGTCATTAATATCCCTGTCATATCTGTTTTTATGTTAACCACTCCTTGATAGGCCTGATTTCTTTGGGCTGCATCCCGATTACTCTCTGAGCAACAGAATTCTGCTCTGCTCCTCGAAGAAGTAAAGTCGACATTGGATCCGGTGTTAGCTTGACGAGTTGGAGAGCATTTTTTACTTTACATTTTATAATTCAAGTTGGGTTATCGTGTTCTGAAATGTGACTATTATTATGGCCTGAAACTTGCAAGTCGATAAGATTAGTCTCCATATATAGGTTGTGGGAAACGATTAGAAAAGTTTATCTTGATCGTTTTTGTTGCTCCACTCCGGCTCCACGAGGTCAGTGAGGTCAGTGGGTCCTTATGTGTCCGTCGGGCAGCGCTCAGCTGCAAGAGGAGAGGTATGATCAGGCTGTGGACTGGAACAGTGGAAAAAAGAACCATCATTGACGGGAGTCAAAATAGGCGCCACAGACTTTGAGGGAACCGGCTGTCGAGACAGATGGTAAAGCTGTTGGGAGCTTCATTTGCGTGTTGAGCAACTGGAAATGAACCATCGAGCACTGTTCTAGAGCAGAGATCAATATTAAAAATATATACATTACATTTTCGCTATAGCTTGTCCTTGTCGATCGGTTCCGACTTTGGTGGATCTTTGACGAGCGGGATAGCGGGCTTGTCTTCTTCAGATACGAGGATCTGTCGAAGTCGTGGCAGGATTTGCATCGCTCCAACACTCAAACCATTCTCCTTCCAAGAGGTATAATTCCGCGGATACAGGGGGTTATCGAAAGGGGGGGAAGCTGCTTGCGCAAAATGCGATCCAGAGGTCAAAGTGGTGAGAGCTTTCTTGGCTGAAGCAGGAATGTACGGTTCCATGAACTTGGCGACGATAGGAAGGCTGGAACGTTAGAATTCAGTTGCGAAGTTATGAAGGAAGAAGAACGGTCTTACTACTGAGCGACGATTGCAGCATCACCATAATGTTCGCTTCCGATGAGGGGAATAGGAATCGGGGCAGTGCCATCAGAGATTCCGCCAATGATTCCTGTGATAGTGAGACCCAAAATCCCAACGGAGTTTTGCTGTAGAAGTACACTATCAGCCAGAAACTACAACAGAGAAGTCTCAAGTGCAAACCATGTCATAACCA